TGCATATTAATCTTAGCTCTCAAAATAAATTAGAGTCTCAATTTTAAATTACATCGTTTTATTTAATTAAAATTTAAAAATTTATATTATTATATGTTGATATTTAGATTTAAAAACTGATTATATTATATATAATCAGTTTTTAAATCTAAATATTAATATTTAATAAAATACATTTTAAAATTTTTGAATCGAGATTTTGATTTCTAAATATAAATAAAAACTTTAATCTTTTTAAAATAAAAACTAATCCACACTAACGTGTGTTTGTATATCAATTGTTTCCAATCAATTTTTTGTTTTAATTAAAGAGCAGAAAAAGTGGTACATTTGCATTTTATCTGCGCCCAACCCTCATTTGCACAATATTCATATACACGCACACTTGAATGATCTTTGTGCTCTGTGACTGTGGCAGCAGGTAGGTGACTGTGTGCTTGTTCTTCCTAGCACAGAACACTACAATGGGTGGGGCAAAATCGAATAAATACATATGGCAGAGAACAAAAAACAAAAATAAATAAATAGTGCGCAACGTGATCTCATGTCAACGGATTCTTCAACCACAGTGCTAAAACAATGGAAAAAAATGAATCTCTAACCAAGGAAAATATTCTACGTAGGATGTTTCAAGTTCCACATTAGAAATCTATCTCTGCTTCTGTGTCTAAATCTTTGATGGGATAGCAGCTTCTTATTAAATGAAAGAATAATTATTAATACATATTTTAATTTAACACACTATATATTATATTTATTAAAAAATTATTATTTTTTAGTTTGTAATTAAAAATAAACAAATTTAAAGATATAATTTTACATATAAAATATAAAAATTAATTCAATTGAATTATATTTATATTATTATTTAATAATTAAACTAAATAAATATTTAAAAGCGTACTAAACTAAATATATATTAATAATTTTTTTAAATAAAAAAATTCTATAAAGACTTGTGTTATGTGGTATTTCATAACATTAAAGACTTTTTAAAAAATTGGGAGACTTTACGTATGAGAAATGGCATATTATTACGGCTTATTCAATTCATATCTTTTATATACGTCAATGCTATTCAAAATCCCAGATGATATCCAAATCGACAACACTAATTTTCTCATACATCGTGAAAAGTAAAACCTCTATGTTGTTTTTGGAGATTCACCTTAATTTGAACAAATAGTTGATAATGACATACCCCTTTTTTTTGATGCGTCATGATATACCCATTTATTATACTTTCTCCTTCTTTTCCAAGTCTAAGTGGGGCATATGAGGACACTGCTGACTACCCTTTCAGTGTGCCATGTGCAACCTTTTTATTCCTCTGATCTTTTCTTCTTTTAATTCATTCCAAATCCTTATAGATAAACCCTAATTTTAAAAAGAAAAAAAGCAAATTAAAGCTACGTACCCTTGTCTCTATCCCCTCCATGTTTCCTTGCTTTGTGTCTGCTCTTTCCACACTTCCATATCTTCATGAAAAATCACTAATCCCTTACCCAATCTTTACTCTTCACTCATGTCACCTCCACATGAACTTACTTTGATATGTAGGACCCCCACTCCTACATATTTTACCGTATTTACAAAAAGTTCCCTAGGATATTCATTTTTGTGCAGCCTTGCAAATTGATCTAGTCATCAAGCACAACGTTTCTTTGCTTTGGTGGGTCCCAAATCTCAATGTGCTGGGAAAAAAAGCGGGGAGGAATTTCTTTGAAGTTTCCCATCCAAAACCTTCACTTTGCTCATCTTCTCTTCACACCAATGCAGCTGCTCCTCACTTAGATCTTTCATTCTCAATACCCTTGACACGACTTTTAGGTCAATTAGACCCATCAAGATCTCCATCTCTTCATCCCCCTTTAATTTTCTTTTTCTTATGCATTTCCGAGCTCGCCGAAGATCCTTTAGCTTCATCTTTTTCTACACATTAAAAAAGTAGTAATCGTGTTAATGTATGTAAAGTGATTGTGTACCTAACGTAGATAAAATAATTTTTGTTAAGGAAAAAAAATTGGACCTACTTTTTTATTAAGTTTCTTCGTAAGATTGAGATGAGCTGGATCTACTGAACCTCTTCTTGGCTTCCCAAAGAAGGATTTGATTTTTTGGCAGGGCTTTTCCCTGTCAGCCTTGAGAAAATTCATAAAAGTTTGGATCCCGTCTTCCATTATCATAAGAAATGCTGCTGATGAAATTCTTGACCCAAAACCTTCATCCTTTTGATCATCCTCAGAATCTTAATCAATTTAAAAAATTGAAGTGAAAAAGGTTAATTAATATAACCCAAGTTACAGATCGATTACTAGTACTAAGGCATGAGCAATTTGAAGAGTCTCAAACTCTTACGTTTGGACTGTAAACCATTATGGCACTAAGGCCAGTTCAGATTTGCTCAAGAACTCAAATCTAATTATGTTGAGATATAGGAAAATGTAATTAAGGGCTAAGTTGATTTGAGTACCTCTATATTCTGGCACCAGAAGCAATTTGGGTGCCAAAAGCCTCATCCGGGCATAGATTTCCGGCCTCCTCCCCTGCTCATAAGGCTCATTCTCCACGTAACGCTGAAGAAGAACCAGAAACTGCTGAAATCTCTGAGCAATACCGGCTGGACAACCGATGTCGAAACCCTGACCGCGAGCAGTTCTCTTCTGTTCAAAATTCTTGTAGTTCCAATTCAGAGCTTCCCATGTTAAACAAATCTCAGCAACGTATGCAGCTTCCAGTTCATGATATGGGTTGTGTCGGATGTCTGATGGCTTTTTATTGATTGCAGCAATCTTGTACACTATTCTTTCTGAAATCGATCTGGGACAGGCCTGTATAGACCTAAGTGATTCTGTAAACACAAAGGCAAAGGATGCCTCAAGGATTAGAGTCTGGCACTCTCAAATTAGAAGTACAAAGTGCGAACATTAGGACAGACAAGAGAACCATCTCTGTTGTATATGCACTAAAAAAGGGTAAACAGATGGCTTTACATCTTACCTGTTTCTTGGAGTTTCTGGGCACTGATTCTGTGTAGGAACATCATTTCCTCATCATATTTTTGGAAAACCGTGTAGGATTCCCACTTACGACAACTCCTTCGTGACGAAGAAGAGAAAGGGTCATCGGTAGTAGAATCTCTGCAATTGATGGAGCTTCTCCACTCGGAAGAGCTCTTGGAAGTGGAACCGACAGTGCAGGAGTCACCGAAGATCTCTTCATCATCTTTTCGTTGAATCTCAAGCTTCTCTGCCTCCAATCGCCTTCCTGAAAAAACGAAAAATTTTTCATCTTTCAAAAAATCTGTCCTGCTCTTGGTTTCTTGATAATTAGCGCAATTATCGAAGACAACATAAGCAATGTCAGGTAGAGTGAAAGTATTAGAAGTACAAAGACATAATCACCAGAAAACGTCAAAAGTACAATACCAACTGCTCTTAACAGCTTACCGCGATGATCATTATGTTCATCTTTGTCCAGCCTATTAGATGTACTTTTGCTGAGTTCTATGATTATTGGTTCGGTGGGACCCTTTTGATTTGCATCAGATTTCTGAAGTGAATCCGCATCTTCTGATGGAACCTGTTCTTCTACCGACCCATCTTCATTATCATCATCATCATTTTGCTCTGATTCTGAAATTACCTGGGATTCAGGAGCAGAGAACTGTTCTGTAGAATTGTGAGTTGAATGTTCTTGATCTTCATAGCTTATTTGTTCATGGGTGTTCATGGGATACTCTTGATCCTCTTCAGCATCATGTTGATCAGACAAGAACGCAACTGATTCGCCGCTGCGGATTATGTTGGCGCCCAGGTGTTCTTCTGCCATGTAATTGACATGGTAATTGTACCTATCATTGTATTCTTCTTCTTCTTCTTCCTGCTCATCTTCGGAAAACATACCATAATCATATTGATTTCTGCAACAAAACAAAAAAGCATAATATTAAGTGTTCGGATTTTTTTTATTAGCGAAGAAGTTAGTGCTTAGCTATTGCAAAAGCAACTGAGTTCTGAAATTGCAAAAAGAAAAAAAGTTACGAACATATGAAGAAGAGTAGCACACCTTTGTATGAGGGGATAGCTGCCGATGAAGTGGAAGAGCTTGAGGAGGAGAACAGAGGAGGAGTAGAGGAAGAGGAGCAGGAGGAAGAAGGAGCTTGAGAGGTTGTAGAATAGCCTAAGAAGAGCCTCTTCTGAACACTGCATATTTCCTTTGTGGTTGGCTCTCCAAAATTGAGCTCCCCAATAACGATTGCTACCTCTCCTACACAAAGCAAAGTGAAAGTCCTAAAAAAGCAAGGTGGGTGTTGCTTTAAGCTTTTGGTTTGATTTCACAACACAACTTTCTTTAAATGACCAATTTGTCCTATAATCTCCAAATTTATCTCAATAATATTTCCATCATGAATAAGGGCAAAACCGTCATCAAAGTAATTATTGTATAATTCACTCAATTGCTTGATTATTTCAACTTAAATAAGCTATAAACTTTGGTTGGCCATGTCAAGAGTTAATCTAGTAAGAGTTATTTATTATTGGCATAGGCACTTACTTTATTATTTTAAATTGTAGAAGAATGCATTTTATAGATACACTTTCACATCAATTTAGTGCACTTAAAGAAATTAAATATCTTATCATTAACTCAAAACTTGAAATTCAATTTGATTTACAAGACAAGACATGTAACTATTTACTAACTAATTCAATCCTTGAAATTCTCTTTGAATTAGTAAATAATTAAATAATTAAAGTAGAAAATGCTAGTCTCCATGTAAGAAAGCTTGCTATTTTTTTTTTTAATCTTTTTATTATCCCATTGAAGAATTATAAGTAGAGAAACATGGCAATGAGAAACCAAAACCCGAATACACGCGTCTTATAGAAAAACATTGCTGCTTTTTCTTTGCAAAAGAAATGACAATTAAACTTTTACTAAACAAAGGATTGTGCAAATCGTGTAACTTAATCTTATACGTACAAGTTACGTGGATAGTAATATGCGACCGAATTGGTCAAGGGGCATGGCTACTTAGAACAATTAAGGGCCACTAAGTATACAAAGTGAAAGGCAATTCCGGGAAAGTGATACCCGGAAAAACAAAGTTTACTTGTGGTCAAGTTTCAAAAATTCACAAAATGCACATTTTTTTGTTTAAAAAAGAGATTATTTTTTTAGTATATAATCATTTATTGTCAATTCAATATTTAGATTTCTTAATAAATAAAATATCATCTTATAAATTAAAATTAAAATTAAAATTTTAGAGTAAGCAAATAAAGAAATCAAAAACTAAAAGATAAAAAACAAACCCTGTGTAAGATATATTATATATTCTTTGGCTTATTAATGAATAAAGATCCATCTTCATTGTCTGGCAATAAATGAATAAATAAATAAAGATCATTCAAAAGGTGATGAAAGTGGGGCTTGTTTGGTCCAAATCAGTGTGCTGAAAATTTTCATTCTTCTTCTACTCCCTATTGTCCTTAACTTGGCCACTAAGATTTCTTAGGAAAATGCCATCATCTGAAAAATTTTATCATAATCTGATTTTTCCTTGGACAAAACCAAATAATAAATAATATATATATAAAGGCCAATATCAAAGAAAAGTGATTGGACCAAAATTCATCAGGCAACTTTAAAAATAAAGGACAAAAACATTGGCTCAATGTGATTTTTGGCTTTAATTGACATATATAAAGAAACCTATTGTCGCCCGTACCCCACCCTCGTTTATCCGGTTTTAACACGAACAACATTTTGTTTACTTTACCTTGAGTTGTGCTGCCGCCTATGGTTAAGTTATCTTATCTTAAAAGCTTATGTGTTTGAATTAGTTTGTGCATACTTTTAAATTAATTCATTTTTAAATGATTTTAAGAATATATTTCTTCTATCAACTTAATATATTTGAAAAAATTAATTTCTTGTTAGTGTTGATTTAAAGCTTAAATTATGGACATGACTTGCAGTAATACTCTTTTAAAATTAAGCCAACGTGGCACTATTTTATTACCATGCACAAAATTAAGTTCATGTAACATATGGCTCAATTATAAAAAAAGTTTTTTTTTTTTTTTTTTATGTTTGGATTATATAATAAAAAATAACTTTTTCTTTTCTAAATTTCTTTTTGCCTATTCTATAAATTGAATATGACTTCTTTAAATTAATAATTTAAGTTCTTAACCACTAAAATATCCTATTTAAAACTGATTACAAAAAAGTTGTTCAATAAGAAAGTGTCAAAGTACGTGATCTTTAGCATTCCTCTTTTTCCTTTACCAATTTTAACTAATGTCATGTAAACTTGAGAAAGAAGAAAAAAAAAAAAGACAGAGAGAGCGTAAAATTACTAGCATTTCTCTTAAGTGGTTTCTTGCAAAATACTTTTCATTTAAACCCTTGAACTATTCAATCATTTATTTTAAGGTCAAAGTTATCAGGAAAAGGCACATTCTTCTCTATGTTATGGGCTTGTTGTCTTACATGGAAGGGAAGCCAATCTGACTTTGTTAAAGCACATTAGGGAAAATTTTCCTCTTTTTTATTATTATTTTTAAATATTTTCTCATAAATGACCAACTAACTCTTCTTTGCATATGCCAATTTCAACATTAGATATGAGAACTTACAATATATTTGGGTTGAGGAGAATGAAAAAAAAAAAGAAGAAAAGTGAGGTAAAGGGAGAAATTTCCTCCACTAGTTTACTAAAAGAATTGAAACTTTGCTTTATTTTTTTTAAAAAAATTCATTTACTTATTCAAATTAGGGGAGGGGAGGAAAGAGAAATGGATAAAAAATGTAAAAATAAAAATATACAATATTTTTTTATTTTCTTCAAATCAAATGTATTGTTAGTTAATGAACCCTCAGAGCCTATTCAGTTTTCCTTTGGGGGCAATTGTTCACAGAGAAGCTGCAACAAAATGGCTTAGCTTATAATAATTAAAAGCAAATTTATCAGTGCACTTTTTAATTTAACATATTATATAATATATTTATTAAAAATATATTTTTTTAATTTAAAAATAAAAATAAATAAACTTGAATATATAACTATGCATATAATATATAAAAGACTAATTAAATTAGTTGTATTTATATTTTATTTTAATAATTAAACTGAACAAATTTTAAAAAAATATATTAAATTAAAAAATATATCAATTAAAAGATGTATAAATTATTTTTTTATATAAATATTGGCACAAAAATCAAGACTCATGTAATTAATTGATATGTTGGCTTTCAAAGTCGTTAAAATCACTTTCCCAAATTTTCAAATGCATAGAATCAATTATAATAAGAATATATCTTACCACACTGTTTGCATCTTTTAACCGCGGTTTTTTCTTTTTTTTAGGAAGTAGAATTCGAGCCACATAAGTGGCTACTTTGCAATCTAACGACTTGTGTGCCCTTAGTCTTAGATTTTAAAATTCTTGTGAAGTGCATACGTTTTACGAGGCAAAACTTCTCCATCCAAATTCTTCATCCGGGAAAGGCTTACCAAACATTATCTGTACGTGTTTGGATGGGGAAAGTTTACCTTAAACTTTTTAAATTTTTTTTATAAGATTATTTATATATTTTTACACATTAATATTAAAATAAAAAAATAAAAGTGACATTTTGAATATTTATTTTTTAAAATACAATTCTTAACCTATAAAATTATCTTTTCATTTATTTTGAAAGAAATAAATTTCTTTATAATTTTTTTTATCTTAGGTCTATTATTAATTTTTCCTATCAATTTTTTTATTAATTTCTTACTAAACATAATAAAATTAATAATCTAACAAAATTCTAATAAAATTTCATTACAAAACTTAAAAACTTTTCATAAAATATTTTTTAAATATTTTATATAACACTTTTTAAAACTATTTTCTCAATAAAAATTTTTATAATAAAATGACCCCTAACCAACCATCCCCCTTAGTGGTGGAGAAAAGAGGGTCACTCGCCTTTTCTTGTTAACTTTGACCATCGATGACACAATAATGTAGTATTGTAGTTTAAGGGGCTTAAAAAACACACAAAAAAGAAAGTTACTTAAGAGGCTCAATTGACATTAAGTTTTGTCTTTTAGTTAGAGTGCTTGGGTGTGAAAATATCTTAGTTTAAGGGCCAATTTAAGGGGCGTTTATTCCTGTATTGCAGGCTGGACCTTTTTGTTTGTAACAAAATGTGGAGGCCGGTAATATAAAAAAATTTAGAGACTAGATTTCAGAAAGCTCAAGTTTTTAGGCATTTTGGATAACGTGAATGGAGTCGAACGTTGTTAGTTATGGCCCTTTTGGGCGTATGGCTCTGTTGATAAATTCAGATCTTTTACAAGATATAAAGATTGATACTTGTCAGAATGCATGGCCCAAGAGGCAGCTAGTTCAGCCAGACTAATGAAGGGTTGAGCATTGAGTATATGTACATTTGATATCTGTAGGTATTTGACATACTTGGATAAGTATTTTATTTATATTTAAAACGGGATGGTTAAATATAGGATATGAAAAATATATATCTACTAAGTAGGATTAAGTATTGAGTATGGAAGTATATATCTACATACCTAATCTATATATATGACGTATATTTATGGGCAAAAGGTGTAAATCTCACCCCCCTCAAATTGTCATATTGAAGTAAATTACCACTTCAAAAAATTGTTGATGTAATTTGTCATTCCAATTTTTTATTTTTAAGAAATTGTCATATTGAAGTAAATTACCACTTCAAAAAATTGTTGATATAATTTATCATTCCAAATTTTTATTTTTAAGAAATTGACACAAATTTAACAATTATCGTCAATAGTTTAACGAAATTTAATAGTAATTGTTAAATTTGAAATAATGTTTAAAAAATGGAAATTTAAGTGACAAATTGTGTTAATATTTTTTTATGATGATTTGCTTTAACCTAAAAATTTTGGGAGACAATTTGCACATTTAGGCAATACTTATGTATACATTTTTTATATGTAATTTTGTATACCTAATTTATATACTTGAATTGTTGTATAGTATATATGTATGTATGTATGGAAAAAAGGAAATTCAAGATGTCCTGATATTAAAAATATAAAAAACGTTAAGATATTTAATAATAGTTATATAATGAATTTGATAAAATTAAGATCTATACTATATCCTTCATATTTAATAATTATGATTGAACATTTTGATATTTTTAATAATTGGATATCTTAATTTTCTCTTTTTTCATATATATATAAATATATAAGTTAACTAATTACTAAAACTATAAGTGAACCCCGACAAAATAAAATAAATAAATAAAAATTGACACATATATAGAATAAAGTATTAGTGTTTATCATCTAAATTTATAAAAAAAAAATTATGTAAAAAAATACTTAAAATTATATTGTTTCAATAAAACACCCAAACAAAAAATTAAAACAATTTCATTTCTCTTTTGAAAATAAAAACATTTTAGCCCTTTTTTTATTGAAAATTAATCAAACCAATGTGATTTTAGCCGGGGTACTTTTTTGTTTAATTTTTTGTAAGTATGACTAATCAGCACTAATCTCATAAAATAAAACACAGCATCCCTTGTTAGTAACCTTTATGTCTGTGTTCCAATATATATATTTTGTTATAAGTATGAATTAATGTGTTTTTTTTTATGTATATATACAATATATAAACTAAAATATATATTTTATGATAGATATAATTATGTTTTGATATGTATTAAAGATTATAATATTAACCAGTATACTTATATCTAATGAGTTGAGTAATATATATATATAAATTTTTAATACCTAAATAAATATTAAATATCAAAGCTTTATACTTATAAAATTTTAAATTAAATATAAATATGAATAAATAACTGATAT